ATTCAATCCCCCTATTTCCATGAAGGGTGAAAGACTTCTATCTGAAAAACGAGTTGTTGATGTATTCTAGTGGTGGGGAACTCTGACCTTCTAAATGTTGGGTTACAGTTCTGTCATCCTTGACTACCAGCCTACTAGAGAAAGCTGATGAGAGTGGGAGTCTCACAACATCTGGAAGTCATCTTTTCTGCCCAGGTATCCGTCTCCATGGTCAGGAGGAAAGAAATAATTCACCCTTTGACATTTGGGGTTCACTGGGTCTGTTGGCTTTAGGTTTCTAAAAAGGTTTTATTGATGCAATGAAGAGGTCTTTTCCGATTTATGTCCACCAAAGCATTAGCCATCTCACAATAAATAAATGCCATAAATAGAAAGGCCATAGTTTAGTCATAGCAGAACTACTTTGCATGTGAAAGTCTATTTCAGTCCCTAGCATCTCCAAATTGGTCTGGGATAAATTCCTTTTGGAAAGTTTGGAGAGAGACTGTCCATCCTTGTAGATCAACCTAGAACCTTCCAATTGTTTTGGACTTAGTTTGTGCTGTATTTCTTGACTAGCTAAGCCAAGGCAGCCATGTTGAAGAGTAAAGTCCCTTGAAGTAAATCCAGCAGTTTTCCAAGCCAACCAAAATTCTTATACCTACTGTATAAACCCTGTGATAGCTCTGCTAATGATCTGACAATATGGGTGAAGGGCCAGTTGGTGAAATATTCTAACAACGCTGGATTGCTCCCCCCACTTCTGCCTGTGAAAAAGTTCAATACTCTGCAATAGTTTGACCTCTTGGCTAATTTTAAATGCCGATTTGACAAATAGCTGAAAGATCTTAGAGGGCTTAACTGTTTCTCAGTTGTCTGAGCCCAGGAGCTGGGGGTGGGTTGGAGAGTTCAGCTGCTTTTATATTTAGATCCTTGTAGGTTTCACCCTTGCTATACTGAATTTGTAAAACAGAATTTGTCACTGGAAGTAGTCCTGCTACTTCTGTTGAGTTTCCTATTTCCTCTCCCTGGATTTTGTATATTGTTAGGTGGTACTTATTTCCTACAAATGTGTTTAGTTGCTGGTTGAACTGATCACACAATTGTAGGACCTGTTCGCTGGACATTCCCATTCTTACAATTGGGTTGCATCAGTTTTATTCTGTAAATGAGAGTTGTGAGAACGGAAACCCTCATGTTTTGCCAGCATCTCTTGACCTATTGATGCGTTTCTAGCATCAGTGTTAAGAAATAGGGTTGACTACAGTTGTAGAATACAAGAACTGTATATAGTTTACTTATTTATAGACTTAGATCCTTTTTTTCTTTGGGAGTTCAAGGTGGCATACCTAGCAATCCTTCCTGTTTTTCCACACAACAACCCTGTGAGGTGAATTGGGCTCTCTTGAAGAATAATAATAAGCATGGTGTGGGATAAAATGCAGTAAAAGGCAAGGCATAGAAATAAAAAGTTGCATATTCAGGTTAATAAAGAAAAACCCATAGTTTTTGTTACTACAAGAACTCTGGAAGGGTCACTATGTTCATGACCATCCAATAAATACCCATTTTCTATAGAAACCAAATGTCCAGTATTTCTTTCATCTAACATTTCTTTGAAAAGTTTTCTTTGGCCATGTGTTCCTATCTAAGCCTTCTTTAGTATGTGTCAGGCTGCCTGGACCCAGACTTGGAAGTTAACCCTGGTCCCCCAACTTGGGGGTTACCATGTGGCTTGGCCACTAGGCTCAGGCTTGGCTAAAATCTCTCAGGCACATGATGTGGTTCCGCTAGATAAGAAGCTGTATTGCAAACCTGAATGAAGCTACACTGAACCATTGATTGCCCTCTCTCTGTGAGAAGATGCAGTTCCCCTCTTATCCCTATAGCCATTATGCCCCTTTGCTGCTGCTTCCCACATTTTCTGTGTTCCTGTGGATTTTTTGCCCTGTGCTTCATGGCCTTGAAGCTGAGCCATTGTTGGTTGTTGAGACCACTGACGTCTCAGCCCTGAGAACCACTGGATCTCCAAATGCATTGGCCATGCTAGCAGAAGATTAGTGGGCATGGTAACCCAACAGATTTGAAGGATGCCAAATTAGGAAAAGCTGGTCTCATCAGAGATGATCATTTTCAAGCGTCCTGCCCCTTGAAATAAAATGGCTGGTGATTTCTCTGTTATACTGCATTTTTTTGAACACTTTAAGAACACTTGCATGGACCTAACTTTGCTATCATTCTGGTGCCAAATAAAGCCGCCTTTCATCTGCACAGGCTTTCCAAAATACAGTACATTCCATCATATGTTGTAAGTTGCATTAGCTGTTCAGGTAAAGCCTCTTTCTAATGGAGTTCAACTCCTGGTGATTTCATGGACATATAGCACCCTTGTAGTTTTCTTGGCTAAAGTACGTCAGATTTGCTCTTGCTTTCTCCCAGCGTGTTTTCTCACTTCCCAGAGTAGCCTTCAGCACTGTGGTTTTCTTCTGGTCTCCAGTCCAACTAATAACAAACTCCAACTGTGCTTAACTTTTCCAGAAGAATCCACGATTGGCCAAGTGCTGCTGCCACATGGCTGGTTGTTGTGTCTGTTGTGCTTCTATTATGCTACATTTCTGTTTTTCTGTTAATGTATGTATCTGTTGATTTTTGTACTTTTTATCTTATACTCTCCTAAGAGACTTAGGGGGTCCTGATCTTTTGTGAATAAATACATATAATACAACATTTCTATCTGGCTTGTTGGGGAGAATATTCTTATTTTGAAAGACTGTATGGTAATATAGATCCTGATCTCCTTGGACATCCTTCATAAATGCTCAAGAGTCTTAAGTTGTACCATTGCCCTTCTTTGCCCAGGGGCAAATCAAAGAATAGACTTGTCCATTCCCTAGTAAAGGTTTCTATATTTAAAGCAATGCCACCTTAGAACACGCAGTGATCATTTCTGATTTTTTTAATGATAGTGCATCATTCAGTAAGCTTGGTGGTGCAAATTGCATGGACCTGGTTCAGTCAGGCGGAATCACATCGCAGCAATAGTTGAGCAGTTCTTTGGGTGCTGTGACACTTAGGGCTCTACCCACGAGCATGAAACACAATGTGAAATAGCACATACTCTAGCTGACCTTGACTGATCTTGAAAAGCTGAGCAGGATCAAATCTGGTTATTATTTGAACAGAAGGCCACCAGACAATCCTGGGGCAGGGAACTGGGGAGTTTTTTTTCAAAAAGCCTTGGAAGAAAGCAATTGATTCCCAGCAGTTGGTAAAACATGCCTTGGGATTGGTGCTACATGATCTCGCTTACCAACTTGGCCACTGCATTTTCCAGCTGCAGCTTTGAGACTGCTTCAGAGGTAGGCCTGTGGAAAGTGCCTCAAAGTGACCTTACCATGAGATTATTAGGGATGCCCCTGATGCCATGGGACCAAACCAAACACACACCCACAGACACATACATGCACACTGCTATTTTTTAGTAGTGACCTGAGTGACTCTGGCACAGGACCTTGAATTCCCAATCCTCAAAACTGGCCCAACGAAACCCCATCAGTAGTGAGGGAGCCAAAAAGATCCACAGGGGGGCAGCTGGACAAGCTCATCTGTTAGAGCAATCCAGACTATGGGTCCTCCCAGTTGCCGGATTTGAGAATTGAAACATGCAGGAATAATGTAAGGAACGAAGGACCCATCAATTAATGTTTAAAATGTGGGTGTTACTTCTTTTAGATACATAGAATGGGCAGCTGTTAGTAGGTTATTATGATGTTTGTAAGTCACTTAGTTGAGTCCTGAAAGGGCAAGGTAGCCCTTTTCTTCTCCTCTTCCATGCAAAGTGGGTCACTCTTGATTCCCCTTGTAGAAATGCATGGTTCACAGCAGGTGGCAGCCCCTTGCCAAAACTGGGCTGAACTCAAAAAAGCTAAGTGTGATTGGACCTGGTAAGCATTTGGATGGGAGACCACTAGGAGATCTCAGCATTAAGGTAGACTGAGTGTGAAAAAAACATTTCAGAAGGTGGCAGAACTGAACCATTTCCATGTTGTTGCTAAGAAAATTACATGAATGGATCTATGTAGTTGCCAGGAATTCAGCTTAACTTAAGGGGAGGATTTACCTAAAAGGAGCCAGTTTGCTCTAGTGGTTAAAGGCACTAGGCTAGAAACCTGCAGCGCAATACATTTCCTCTTACATTACTATCTCCCCCCCAAAATCCTAAATTTTCCACTTAGCTAGTTTGGATTTGAGCCAGTTTGGTGTAGTGGTGAAGGCACCAGGCTAGAAACTGGGAGACTCTGAGTTCTGGCTTCGCCTCAGGCACAAAGCCTGCTGGGTGACCTTGGGCCAGTCACTCTCTCTCAGCCCTAGGAAGGAGGCAAGGGCAAGCTCTTTCTGAAAAGCCTTGCCAAGAAAACTGCAGGGACTGGTCCAGGTAGTCACCAGGAAAGGCACCCCCTCTTTACCTAAAAAAAGGATAATTTGTCCAAGGCTGGTAAAACAGTTGAAAACAAGTACACCGTTGCTTTAGCTTCTTGATCTTCTTATTCCTGCAAATGTAACAATCCAATGAAGGATTGGGGAAGAGACCACCAATCTTCCCTAACAATCTATCAATATTTTCACTGCCAGCTTTTAACTTTCCTGATTTGTCCGATTTGGTGATTCCAGATACTGCTGAACAGGCGGAAGCAGTCATTTTAAAGGAGGCTTTGTATGAAATTCAAATGCTTGTGGCTCAGTCTAGACTTTAGTTGAATAATAACAGTATGTACAATGAAAAGCTTAAGTATGATTGCTTTGGGATAGTTAATATTTTTTCAAGTCGTTATGGCAGAGCTTCGTTTGCTCATGCAATGATCTGTAGCACCATCTGGTGGCAACTGAAAAAAAAAAGGGGCTTTGCAGGGAGAGTAAAAAAATGAAAGTAAACATTTGTAACATCCAGTATGAAAGGGGAAACAACTCATAACGTTGCTTCCTGGTTTCGGTATCGCACTGAACGAGTACACTAAGATTAGGGTTCCAAAAATTGCACCTCATTTGGGGAACGAGCCCCAAGGATGCCTATGTGTTGTGTAGGTGTTAGCAGTACTGTTCTCACTAGGCGTTCATTGAACAGTAGCGCAACCCCAAGATAAGGACGGTTGAGGAGGAAAGCGTAACCGGCAGGCTGGGGAAGTAGACGGGAGCCCCACTAAGATCATAGTGAGGCGCGACCCGCGTTTGTTTGTTTAGACTGCTTTGGGGTGGGCGGCGTGATGATTAATCCCCCCGTTTGTTAAGCATTTGCAAAACAAGCTGCTTCCCGGCCCCTCTCTTCGTGAGTTTGGAGGTTACCCGAAATGCCTTGCAGCCGTCGCTTTGCATAGTGGGCGGTGCCACAAGTAAGCGCCGCGGTAGGGCGGTCTTAGGGTTCGAGGAAATGCCTTTCGCTGTGAAGATCTGTTTTTTGGCACGCCTGGCTGGGCCTGCAGACCGAGGGGGGCAATTCATCCCTCACATCCGGACTAGGGTTATTTAGGCTGCATGCCTTACACGTATCCTCATTGAATCTAGCGACTTGGATTTCTAAGCGTGCAGGACTTTGCTGAACATTTTTCTTTTTCGTTGAACCCATTAATAATATTACAGACCAGCTTTCTCCAAACAGATGCAACCCCATTTTCCCCAGCATTGGACTGCAACTTCCACAACCCGGATTGTGTGACTAAGGATTATGGGAGGTGTAGTCCAGCACCCTTGGAAGGCACAGGCTTGAGGAAGGTTGCCCAGATGGTAAAGCTTCCAGTAACAGAAGAGCTGTGTTGGGAGTTTAGTGTGCAATTGGAGGCTACCTATTCTGAAAACTGCAGCAGACACATTCTGGGAGCGACAGTACTTGTATTTGGTATTTAATGACTTTCCAAAATATATATTAGATTTGCTTCATTTGAGGATGCTTCATGTGAACACTTCTCCAGCCCGGTATGTTGTGCCTGCAACTCCAAGAATTCCCCGCTTTGTAGTGAGAACATTTGCAGGGCTGAAGGTGGGAGAAAGGCTGTTTCAGAATTATAGCTTTGTAGCATTTAGGGTTTTTTTTGTTTGTTAACTTAGCATTTTTAAAAAGTAATTTTGGGAAAGTGTACCTCTGACACATGTGTAGCAGAAGTTGCTTTTCTTTCCTGACCCTTTCACTCAGATTTGAGGGTGCATTACATATAAGCCAATATATTCACAGTAACTGTAGTAATGGTGTCAAGAGTGGGAATAGGTTAAATGTAAATTATTTGGTCTCTCCTCTCCGCTTTACATGTTTGAAGTATGCATTCAAAATCCATGACTGGATATAATAATAATTTATTAAACTTGTGTACCTCCCAACTTTTAGTCATAAACGTGCTGGCCACATAAGGATTTGAATCCACACCCCACACCCCCCAGACCAGCATGGCTTATATAACTTTTCTTGAATTATTTATTATTAATAATGAAGACTGCTAACTGGATATTTATTTTAAATAGTATCTCTTGAATATTAAGAGACAAGTATATTGACGTGGTGTTTATTATTATTGCTGTGGTGCCACCTGGCAGAGTACTTCATCATTTTCAAAATGTAATGATTAAGCTTGGTAATAATGACAACAACTTCAACTTATGAAATATTTCACTCAGTTTTTTGTAACTCTGTAAATGTTAATTTGCTTATTAATAACAATTTCTGTGTTACAAAGTGGTGCATCTTCAGTATAATTTGATCTTCTATTTTATTTATTATTTCAAATAATGCTACCCCACCCCCACTTAACTTTGCTTATTTTTAACCAGTACTGGTAACTTTTATGGAAATTAATCTTTAGATTTGCAGCTGTTCCGTTTAAACTCATTTTCCGGAGCTGTTGCGGGTTTGCTTAATTGCAACTGAGCAGCCACAAATAAAATACAAAACTACATAGCCTGACTTCATTCTTCTACTCCGCTCTTCTTCTTTTGTCAAGACTTATATCGTGGCTTAATTAAATCATAATTACCTACCAAGCTTAAAATTTTAATACCACTTTATGATCCAGAGTCTTCAACCTGCATTTAAGTATATGGGAAGCAAAGAAAGAATAAACAACGGAACATCTATTGTCCTGAGCAAAGTTGGATAGCTGAATAAAGGGATTTATTCCAATAAAGGTGCATAGCATCAGGCAGTACATTGGTTTTTGTCCATCTAAATCACTGAATTGGGTTCATTTATTTCAGAAGCATTTGGATTGGGGGATCCTGCTGACATCGATAGGCTGTACCGTGCAGAGTTGATAAAGGGGACCACCCCAAGCTGGATAGGGGTACCTTCCATGAGTGGATGGATCCCAACTTATGTGCCCACACCAAAGCCCACTCCATTCAGTCCTTGCTTTACAAAATCTTGTTCAACTAGGAGTTCCCCAGATGTATGGGGTTCACCTTCTAGAATTGTCAGAATTGGCCATCCTGATGGGGGAATTCTGGGGACTGATATCTGAAGTATGACAATATTGGAGAAGACTGCTCTAGTTCATGACCAAACTCTTCCCCCCAAAGCCTTAACTGAGGCTGCTCTACCTTGATCTCTGATTCCTGATTTCTCTAGGTTTCTCTTGTACCACTACTCACTGCACAGAGGTTGGATCCATTAGATTGGTCTGCCCCCGGCAACTGATGGACCCTGACTGCTTTCAGGGGGAGCTGGGGGTTATCCCTGTTAGTCTGCTGCACAGTCCATCTGAGGTCCTGGTTGCCACTTGGAATAAGGGGGCGGCTGAGGCCTTGGATCAGATTGCGCCCATGCATCCTCTCTCTTCTCGAGGATCTTGACAATCTCCATGGTTCATGGAGAAACTGAGGGAGATGAAATGGGAGAAGCGACGTCTAGAGTGTCGCTGGCACTCAACAAAGGACGAACTTGACTGAACATGGGTTACAGCCACTACTAAGGCCTATCTCGTGGTGGTAAGGGCAGCGAAGAGTCAGTGCTTCTGCACCCTTATTGCATCCGCAGATTGCCCTCCGCAGCCTTGTTTTGGGTGACCCTCCTGGGTAAGGGGGGCACGGAGAACTTTTTACAGGGGCATGTGGAGGAATTTGCGCAGCACCTGTCAGATAAAGTCACTTGGATTCATTCCCAATTGGATGCTGGCCTTGTTGCAAATCCAGAGGAGGTGGCTGGGGAGGAGTCTTGCCCGTTATCTGGGAATGGTTTGAACCTGTTGGACCTGAGGGAGTGGACAGGGTCCTCAGGAGTGTGAGCTTGGCAACCTGCTCTTTAGATCTGTGCCCCTCTTAGCTTGTTAAAGCAGCTCAAGGGGTGTCATGTAAGTGGGTTTGGGGTTGGTCAATTCTTGAGTGAGGGGGTTGTTACTTCACCTCTTAAAGAGGCTTTGGTTTGCCCCTTCCTCAAGAAGCCATTGCTAGACACCACTATACTGGACAGTTTCCATGCGGTATCTCACTTCTCCTGGAGAAGGTGTTTGTGCAACAGCTTCAGAGGACCTTGGAAGAAGCGGATTATCTGGATCCTTTTCAGTCAGGATTCAGACCAGGGTATGGAATGGAAACAACATTGGTCACACTCATGGATATCCTCTGGCATGGGTGGGATGGGGGTAGTGCATCCATCCTTGCCTTACTTGACTTCTCAGCGGCTTTCAGTACCATCAACCATGATATCCTTCTGGATCAGCTCAAAGGGTTGAGGGTGGGTGTCACAGTGTGGTGCTGGTTTGCCTCCTTCCTTCAGGGTCGATTCCAGTCAGTGGTGATCAGGGCAGAGAAATCCTGTCCGCAGCCCTTACTATGTGGAGTGCCACAGGGGTCGGTGCTTTCTCCTCTCCTTTTTAACATCTACATGAGCCCGCTGGGTGAGCTCATCCATCGCCATGGGGTGAGATACTCAATTATATACCTCCACTCCTGGTGAATTAAGCGATGCCATGAATGTCTTATCCCGGTGTCTAGAAGCTGTGAGGGTCTGGCTGGGGAACAACAGGCTTCAGCTGAACCGTGACAAGACTGAGTGGCTGTGGTTTTTGGGGCCCACTGGTTCCAGGGCTATGCCATCTTTGGTCCTGGATGGAGTGGCACTACCCAAACAGACCCAGTGCACAATCTGGGGATCTAGACTCAGGACTCCTGCTTGATGAACAGGTTGCAGGCATGGCTAGGTGGGCCTTTGCACAGCTTCATCTTGTGCACCAGTTGCGCCTGTTCCTGGATCAGCAGGCCCTGCTTACAGTCACTCATGCCCTAGCCACCTCCAGATTGGACTACTGCAATGCACTCTACATGGGGCTGCCCTTGAAGAGTATCCAGAAGCTTCAGCTGGTACAGAATGCAGCAGTGTGGGCAGTTATGTGCACTCCGAGAACAGTGCATGTTAAGCCTCTGCTCTGCGAGCTGCTTTGGCTGCCAGTTTGCTTCCGGGTCCAATTCGAGGTGTTGGTTTTAACCTTTAAAGCCCTTCATGGCATGGGACCAGGCTGTCTGAGAGACTGCCCCTCCCTTGTTATATCAGCCTGCACCATCAAATCTACAGAGAAGGCAGGTGTTGCAGGTGCTATCAGCTAGGGATCTGCATTTGGTGGGTCCCAGGACATGCGCCTTCTCTGCTGTGGCTCCCTCCTTATGGAATATCCTTCCTCCAGAGATTAGATTAGTGCCATCCCTTTTGCTATTTCAAAAGGCCCTTAAAACCTGGTTATGTGATCAGGCCTGGGGCTCCCAGGGAACCAGAGACCTGCTTAGATGGCTCCATTGCTGAGGGGCCATTTTTATTCTCCCTCCCCTTTGGTTTGTATCTTGGTTTTTAAGATATTTATTAATGTGGCTTGTATATTTTTCATGTTGTTTTTATATTTGTTTTTTATCTGATTGTTGTACACCACCCAGAGTCGCTTTTGGTGAGATGGGCGGCTATATAAATTTGCTTAGCAAACAAATAAATACATAAATACATTTGCCTAATTACACAGCCTTATCTACAGCATTGGTTAACCTGGAACAGCTCCAGATACCTTTAAACATCAAAATGAAAGTTGTGCAAGCTTTAATATCCGTCCTTTAATGTCCTTTTTATGCTTAGCTTGCATATTCACTTTATGTTTCTCTTCCGTATTCAGAGATTGCCTGCATCTTTTTTTTTTTTTTTTACCCCCTTTGTTCTTGTTTTCAGGTTGTCCTGCTGGGCTTGGACATCTTATCTGCACTGGTGTCGCGGCTCCAGGATAGATTTAAAGCTCAAATTGGCACAGGTGAGATAATCAGAGCCAAGGGATAGGCTGCTGTATTAAACAATGTGTTATTCTGAGTGGCTTTCCCTCAAATTACATTTATTTGAAGCTGAAATTAAGGACCACATCTGTGGGCCAGCTCGTTCTTAACTTGTTAGTAAGAAGGAATTGCAACCTGCAACAGCTGAAAGGTCAAGAACTTTATCATTGGTATGAACACAGAAATTACTTTGCATTGCAGTAGTGTTAGCAGATAAGAACTGTATAGTTATTTTGTTTTTACAGTTAACTCTTCCCTGATGACCATTTGGTAATGTATGGGGTGGGTTCATACAATATACTAGGCTAAAATGCAGTTAGATGGTTCAGGATATAGTGGGAATCCAGCCACTGTTTTAGCATGTTGTATGAAATAGGTCTATTTCTGTCGCTTCTATTTGTACGGCTGTGCTAAGCCATAATATGGTTTGCTTATTTGGGTAAAACATGTTGTATGAATACAGCAATTGCATTAACCCTGGTTTAGGGTTTAGTATGTGTTGTGTATCCAGCAACAAAAAGCGTGCCCTAGAGTTTGCAGTCCAGAGCTTGACGATTCTCTTTAATGGCCATCACATTATAACAATAAATATGTTTATAGCTGCTTCTGTCCGCATTTGGTGGGGCAAGGAGAAGAAACAGTAGAGCATGCATAGCGTTCAAAGAGGATACAGAGCAGAACATGCAGGGGCTGTAGTTCCCTTTGAGAACTGTAGATTGGGGAAAAGATGGAAAAGGAATTAAGTTTGCAGTCAAAGAACCCTGCTGGAAATCCAGAGTCGCATTCTCTTTTCAAGCTTTTTTTGCCTCACAGTTTAGAGGTTCAACCTTTGTATGTCATTTTTTAATGTAGAGATGATTAGGTCCTGAATCCTACAAGCAGTGGCACTTGAATGAAATTGTAGACTCAACACCACTCATGCTGATGCTGGTCTTCAGCTGAGTGGATGATGTCCCTCTGAGCTTTGTACAGGACAGGGGGAAGTCAGTACCTGTGAAAGATTCCCATGTATGTCCAATGACATTGAATTATTATTATTATTATTATTATTATTATTATTATTATTTACTTTTACAGTATAGATTACTGAATCCCTAAGGATTCTTACACATAAGATGCATAAGAAACAATATACAATCAACTAAAAGTATACAGATAAATGTCCACAAACTAATGAAAGCATAGAATAAATTTAATTTAGTTTAATTTAAACCAAGATGCCTTCCAACAACACTCTGTTTTGAGCAGCTTCTGGAAGGCAGTCATATTTTAGTGTTGATCTGTAATTCCAACTCTATGTTTCTGAGTCCTCCTTTCTAATCCACCTTTCTTTTTGTCCCCAGTGTTACCTAGTCTAATTGACAGACTGGGAGATTCAAAAGACTCTGTACGAGAGCAGGATCAGGCCCTGCTGTTAAAAATCATGGAGCAAGCTGCTAACCCCCAGGTGAGTCCTTGGAAATGTACAACAACAAGGCAAACTTTTGGTACCTGTTCCAAGAAAACCACCATGAGGGGTTTCAATTTGTATTGAACATTTTTTCAGTAAACTAATATTTTTACATTACAATACATTAAAAATGTATTGAACATTTTAAAATAAACTAATAAACTATTATTCAAATAGGATGGGTGCTGTGTATCTGTCAAAGGCAGAATCATGCAGACTGAAGAAGTAGCAGCAAAATTTTTCTCAGTACTTAAACAGACAGGTATGGGGAAGCCAGCATAACAGTAGTAGGGTTTGTATCAGTGGCTGTTGCAGAATGATATCTTTAATTGAAATGACCAAAAGAATTGGAATCAAGAATCTTTTTTACATACAATATGATGAAGCTAGAGCATATAGCTAACCTCTGTATTTGTTCAGAGTAATTGTGCTCCTTTTGTAAGCCACATTGGAAGCATACAAGCCATGTGGGGATGGGGAGGGAGCGATGCTGATCAGCCTTATCCTACTCCTAGAACATAAAGCTTCCATTTATAATCTACATTTGGGTAGCAATATTTAAGAAGATTTTCATCCTCAGCCATTTCTATTCAAAATTCTACTTTGTATTATGTTGAACAGATTAATACCAGAAACAACATTAAGTATATTTTAAGAACTCTGAGAAAAGGTCAGTACTTAAGCTACCATATTCCCATAGCTACTATACTGGGTAGGAGGAGAACTGTGAAACTGACGATTCTTAAAGCAGCAGGGTGACTTTTTCATTTAGAAGGGATTATCCTTTGCATTTGCTCATTAGAACCTATTGCTTCCTTAGGTTAAGTGTTTATTCCTTTAAGTGGTCTACTGGATAAGAATTTATATTTGCTATAAAACAACAAAAACATTTTGCCACCAAAAAGCTGTGTCATGATCTGGGAATATTCTGTGACTACAGAATAAGGGTTAGGATGCACTACAGAGAACTGTAACAATGGGTTGCCCATCCCTGCTTCAAGACTTCCGAATAAAATTATGTATAGATTATGAAGTATTTTATAATGTTGTTTAGAATCCTATCAGTAGAGCAGCGGAATCTTATACAAGATATTTTTAGTTATGTTGCTTTGATGCTCAAAATATAAGTTTCTAGAGCCTCTGTGGGTAGATACGATAGAAAGCCAGGCAAGACAATATAATGAGGGTCATATCAGTATATTCCCATCCAAAAAAAATAAATTTTTAAAACTATTTTTTAATAGTTAATTAGTTCTACTTATCTACGTCTGCCTTCATTCAATGGTGTGTTCACGCACGCACACTATGTATGCAACCTCCATCATACTTCCTTCTCTTGTGACAGTAGGATGTTCAGAATCAAGCAGATGCAACTGATTGATTTAAGGTGTCCCCCCCCCCCCCTTACTTTCTTATATGTATGTGATAGTACGTCTGGGACAGAATTTTGGGAGGATTCAAACACAAGAATTTCCGGACAAGAGAAGGAATTTGCCTCTGCCTTATTGCAACTCTTAATGCGTAAGTTGAACTATTATGCTTAATTTATATCTGCATTCAGTTCCTTTGAAAAATACTTAGCTGATATGTTGCTTGCTTTCTTTTCTGTTGCTTCTTCCTCTGTCTTAGATCTGGAGCTCAGAGTTTAACCTTGAGCAAGATTGTGCCCCATATATGTAACTTACTTGGTGATCCAAACAGCCAGGTGAGTCTTTAATACTGTACATTTGCTTACTTATATCCTTCTTGGAGAAGAATAACTGTGCTAGAGGCTTTATTTTA